CCGGTTTTTTTTTTTTTTTGCCGATATTTTTTTAGTTGAATTTTTCTCAACGGCGTTCAAATTTTATCGAGCGCTCAAAGTGAATAACGTTAACAGATAACCTAACATCTCAAAAGGGTTTTTGTCATTTATTCAAAATTAGTTGTACTTATTGTGATTGGAATGAGTCTTCATACACATCATTAAAGTATTCAACTACAGATAAGTCTCAAGGAAAAACTGTGTTTGAAGCAAACCTACGTGCTGCTGTTGTTGCTTTTCTTTTTTTTTTTTTTTTTTTTTTTTCAGTTTACAATTATTAATCGTAATATAACAATATAAAAATATATAAACTTGGTATCTGAAAGAAGATCCAAATGATCTTGTCGCCAGAACCATATAAAAGATATAATACGTGTATATATAATAAAATAAAATACAATTGATCAAATAACTAATAACAATGTAGAAGAAACAAAAACTGATTTTACAAATTATCCAGAGTAAAAAAAAAGAATTTTACATTTCAAAAATATTTATATATACTGCCAGTAGAAAGAATATGGTTTTTTAATTTAGTTTTAAAAACGGAAAACGAAATTGACAAATCAAAATTTGGAACAACAATTTTGTTCCATAAATACGGTGCTCTTTAGTTTATGCAAAATTGATTAAACTTTGTTTGACAAAAGGGTTCAATTAATAAATTATTATTTCGTAAAGCATATTTGTTTATAGCTTTATAAGTAAAAAGATCTTTGAAATTGGACAATGGTCGTTCACTTTTACAACGAAACATAAAACATAAAATATTATAGACATTGAGTTCGTAAACGTTAAGTGCTTTAACGTTTATAAATAAAATATTTGAATGAGAAAAACGATTTTCGAAACATATTAAACGCATTGCGTGTTTCTAACGATGGTAAAGACTTCGTAACTTACTTTTAGAGGTACTTCCCCAAACAATATTTGCATAATTTATATAGCTATGAATAAACGAGTAGTAGAGTTGAATTAAATTTTGTTTACTTAGATAGTATCTGACCTTATATAGAATTCCAATACTTTTAGCCAATTTAGTAGAAATATAGTCGATATGATACTTCCATGTAATATTTTCATCAATGTAAATGCCTAAAAATTTTGTGACCGACTCCTTTTTTATTTCAATTTTATCAATAAAAAGTTTAGGCAATTTATTTGGTCAAAAACGCTTTTTAGCAAGAGAGTGGAAAAGGATCCACTTTGTTTTGTCAATGTTTAAAGTTAACTTGTTGCACTTAAACCAGTTGGAGATCTGATTGAGTTCATTATTCATATTTGAAAAAAGCTCATAAATGCTACTGTTTGACAGAAATAAATTAGTATCGTCCGCAAAATTTATACTCATAAGGTTAGAAGCTTTATTTAAATCATTTATATAAACTAAAAACAAAAGTGGGCCTAGAATAGAACCCTGTGGAACACCACATTTTATGTCAATTAATTTTTCATTTTGAAAATAATCTCCATAGAAAACAAATTGTTTTCTATTTTCCAAGTAACTTTGATACCATTTTATTAATTTGCCATTAATTTCGTAAAATTTGAGTTTTTTAAGTAGAATTTTGTGATCGACCGTGTCGAATGCTTTTGATAGGTCAATGAAAATACCTAATGTATATTGTGATCTACCAAATGAATCGGAGATTTCACGAATGAACTGTGTAATGGCTTGTTCAGTTGAACAATTTTTTTTAAAACCGAATTGATTTTTATATAGAAGTTTATTTAGATTAAGGTAATTGTATGTTCTATTGTATATAATTCTTTCTAAAATTTTTGAGAAAGTTCAAAGAACTGAGATAGGGCGATAATTACTAATATTTGATTTTTTTCCGTTTTTGTATATAGGAGTTACTTTAGCTATTTTTAATTGGTCGGGGAATACACCTTGCTGTATAGATGCCCTAAGACTTTATAAAAAATACACTTTAAGTTTTCAAAGCAATCTATGACTATGTTGTTATTTATTTCGTCCGCACCCGTAGCTTTGTTTCTTTTGAGAGATTTGTAAGCTCTCTCAAACTCATCAAAAGATTAGTCAGAATGTAAATTATCTATAAAAAGCGAATTATTTATAGGCTCTAGGAAATCACTAAAATTTTTTTCTGTAATAGGGATCTTGTTTGCCAATTTGGTTCCTATGTCAATGAAATATTTATTAAACTCGTTTGCAATTTCGTTTGGTTCATATATATTTGTTTTATTTATTTTAATTACTTTAGGAAGGGAGTTTGAATTTGTTTTTTGTTTTCCTGTTATTTCTTTCAATGTTCTCCAAGTATTTTTTGAGTCGTTTTTAAATTACTAATTAAATTTAAATAATAATTTTTTTTTAATTTTTTACGAATTTTTTCAAATAAATGTTGGTAATTTTTATATTTTTGTTGGTTTTCATTTGATTTTGCTTTTAGATAATTTATATATAGTTTCTGTTTTATTTTCGTGAAATAGGAAAAGGTTTCAGTGGAATAGAGAAATTTGCAAAATATGTTTAGTTTGACAAACAGTTCATTTAATTACTTACAAAAAAATGGCAATATGATAAAATCAAAGGAACTTCTTTCTATAAAAACAAAATATCACTACCAAAGTGGATTCATGATATAATTAAGCTTATAATCTTTAATTTATCTGCTGATGCCTTGTTATTAAAATGTATCCACGGAGAAACTCAAAATGCTAATTTATGTCTTAATTCATTAGTGTGGCAAAAGTGTCTAAAATCAGTTTTTGTTACCAGAGAAGTTTTTAAAATGGCAGTATACTCTGCAGTCTTAAATTTTAATAATGGAGGAAATGGTATAAGAGAAGCTAAAACTCAGAAACAAGATATTCTTTGAATAACACGTATGGAACACAAATCTCGTCAACCTGTTAAAGAGCGTGAGAAAACTATAAGAACAATAAAAAAAAGGATATCTTGATATTGAAAACCAAAAGGAAAAACTGGGATATGAAGCTGGGGGTTTTTGATGCGTTTGTTTAACTTGTAATTGTCTAAAACTAAAAAAATAATTTTAAAACTTGATTTACTTGATTTTTAGTTACTACAATTTTTCAAAAGTTCAAAACACTGTAATTTTAGTTAAACACCTGCTTTTGACTTGAAATTTTCACAGTTTGTTCATTATAGTTAAGAGATTTATTTATGCCATGGATTTATAATACTGATAATGGGAAATATTTTTATGTTATGTAACACGTAATGTTGATATTTAGTGCAATCTTTAAAAAAAACATAAAATCATCACACAGGAGCATGTATTTTTAAAAACCATGGCACAAATGAGAGATAAGGTAGTTTAGAACCAGTATGTAAATTTAGGGCACTATCTGATGTAAACATTTTTAGTTGTTCTGTGATGAAATTTTCATTTTTTATACTAAAGTGTACAAAAAAGTATGGATAGTCGAGGCAAATTACTTTCAACTTTTTTTTTTCATTTTTTAAATATTTATTTTGTTATTTAAAAAAAAATTATCTTGATAAAGCTTATTTTTAGAAAAAAAATTTTTTATAAGTAAATCACCTATAAAAAACTATGAAACCCATTTGAAAATCCTGTTTCGTAAGGAAAAATTACGATAAATTTTCTATTTTTAGATGCCATAAGAAGACCTAACGGTCTTGTCACAGAGCACCGCGGAAGTGCATTTAACCAGGAAATTTACGCTTCTTGTGAATTGACGCAAAAATATGTCCAGAGCTCGTTTTCGATGGATCTCCTGCTTATAAAGCAAGCGCTCTAACCATTGCGCCATGGCCGCACGTATTTATATAATATATAATTTAGGTATTTTATCGTTATTCAAGTTTAATTAAAATTTTTTTTAATTAAAGAAAATTAATAAGATTAATTAATAAAAAGAAAAGTTTTTTTGGGGAATTTGAAAACCGGTTTTTCAAAAAGTCGGTTTTTGTTCAAACCGTAACTACTAAAATCCAACCTACTTTTTCTTTTAAGTTTTTTAATTTTATTGTAAGATGCGGTGACGATTTGAGGAGCCTATCTGCAAAATGCGAGGTCGCAAAAAAAAAAAAAATTTTTTTTTTGAGTCAATTTTATTTCCACATTCTATATACTGATACTGATATCTATCATCTATTTATATATTTAACCATTTAAAAAATATTTGGTCCTAAAAACGGACAAAGAAAATATCAATTTCTGTTGATGCGCAACTAAGAGTAGAGTTTTTCGTGGCTTTCTAAAATCAGTTTACTTGGACTTAACGCGTTTTGCAAATAGACTCCTCAGGTTAGTGCGTTAAGCAATAACGTTGGTGCAAGCGCTTTGTAAGCGAGAGGTACAAAGTTTAAACTCATCACATACCTTGATGTATCACACTCAATAATATTTTGCGCGCATTATTGTTATGAGACTTAAGTGATAACTATAACAAAAATCATAGATTAAAAAATAAATAAATAAACTGGGTATATGGAAGATCATTACATATAAAAAAGAAATTTATGAATATTAAAAAAAAAAAAAAGAAAAAAAAAAAAGCAAACAACAACAACAAATGCAAATAAAAGAAGACAGCGAAAATAAAAAAGCACCAAGTAGAACCAAAACATATTAATACTTAGATTAAATTTATCAAAACAAAAAAATTCTTTCAATTTACTTAGGAAAACAATTTAGGATGAGGCAACAAAAAATAAAAACCTGTTGAAACATATTGTAACATTAAAAAAAATTATCTTTACAATGTTTTATTTCCATTTCAAAGTATGAAATCGGAAGCGCAAAATTATTTTGGATCGATCGCTGCAAAAAACGCAACAAAAAAAAAATTAGGAAAACAACAAAAAAGTTAAACTATGGCATTTTAAAATGTATAAAATAACAGGAGCTATTTGCTTTGTTATTTATGGGGCTTGTTTGGTTTTCAATAAAAATAATAAAACAAAAAATTGAAAAAAAAAAAGCAAAAAACAAAAAAAAAACAAAAACAAAAAACAACACTGACATTTGAAGAACGCTATTCATTCTAATTTGAATTTTTTCTAAATGTTTTTAACAATGTGACCAATTCATTCTTGAACGGTATTTGTTGCTACTCTACGAGATTATCAAGAAAATTTCATTTTCAATACTGGAGATAATTCCGGACTGGATACGAAGTTGCAAAAAAACCATCGATGTCCCATACAATCTTACAGTTCACTAACCAACATTTGATAAAGATTAATTTGATATTGAAGGCCCCTCACAACTATTTGATGACAAGGGGCGAGGAATGCTAATCGAGGTCAAACTTCCCGAACCTAATTGTTCAAGTTTTTTAGCTTCAGCTTGAGATTTTTTAGCTTTAAGGTACGGATCTTCTGCAAGCTGAAATACGTCGACACGATCGTCCTTTTTATAAGTTAAACATTTTCGAATAAAGTTCTAAAAAAGTACAAAATAAAATTATTTGGTCAATTAAAAAAGCGACATTTGTATGATTAAATACAAGTAGAAAAATAGTAGTAGATGTTTCGATAGAATAAAAGTTCAAATAAAAATAATACCTTCGCTTCTTGGCTAACAGTTGGTTTACTTGGAAAGTCAATATTTGTAGCTTTGAGTATTGTATTTTGTTCTAGTATGCTTGCTTGAGAAAGGTTATGACCAAAAGGCTATAAAAAAACATTAAATTTTGGATATTAAATATTTGAAAATCAAAAATTCATGATTAAATCTAGTTACACATTTGGAAAATTATATTTTAACATAAATCCTTATAAATATTTTAGATGTGTTACGGTCATGTAAATTAAAAAGATCATAAAAATATTTTGGAACCTCTCCCCAGTCTTTATAATACTCTCAAAATTATGAAACATTCATGTAGAAAACTAATAAAAAGCATAATATATTTAATGATCAAAGATTATTTAAAAAGTAACATTTGAAACGAAATGTTATCCTATAAAGAATATATGTATATATAAATACAAAAAAATAAATGCTAAAGAACAAAATTGAAAATTAATCAATTCAAAACACGGTAATTGTTTAAATAATTCATATAGTTTAACATTTATCTGTTGTATATTTTTTAATTTAAACTTTTTAAAGATGTATAAGAATATTATACGGTAATTTAATCAGGCAAATTTACGACCTTTCCCACATTTCCAAGTCAAGAAACCGTGTGTATGGGAATATAATATGGGATAAACCATTGACATATAACAACATGGGTTAAACTGTCGACATATATTAACATGGGGTTGATAAACAGTTGACGAAACTTTAAAAATTATGACGAAGCACATATAAAGTATCATATGTGCTTCGTTTAAAATACTTGATATCATTTTCACGATATCATGTATTTTAGACAAATCAGTGCAAAGAAAAGTAGGTTACAATTAATAGTTATAAGTTTGTTAATAAATGGACACAAAGTACAATTAAGGAAACAAGTATTATAAGTAACTGGGATGAATTAATGATTTTCAGAAGTCTTCTGATAAGTGCAAAACCGATTTTAAGTTAGATCTGTTATCAAATTTTCCTGATATTGATTACTGGTTCATAAATGAGTTGACTATTATATATAAAAATTTATTGCAGCCTTACATGCTTACCAGGCCAGTTTCCAAAAGTAACAAATAAGAAGAAATGACTATACGGAGCTAGATTTGTTAAGTAAAGGATATTAAACTTATCGAGACACTACGAACTTACCTGCAATTCTATTTTCTATGGGCCTCTATTGCTTAAAGTATATGCTTTTGTCATAGTCAAAAGATGTGTCTGTTAAAAAGATATGTAATTTTACTATTTAAATGATAATTTGATTTGATTTGCTTTAATAAAAATTTAATAAATAGTGTTAATTAAAATAGTTTTAATAAACGTGTTGTAAAAGAAATTTTTTTTTTAGCAATTGTTAATATATTTTTCTTTATTTTAAACTTTTGTCTGAAAATGTTTGAATCAAAAAATTTAAACATTTTCAGGTTTGAAAGAAACTTTATGTAGTTATTTAAAATATTATTAAACTTATTAAAATATTGAAATAGAATTTAATCGTTACGGCAAACGCATGAAAAAGTTCATATTATTAATTTTTATAAATTATATATATATATAAAAAAAACACAGTCATTTAAAAAATAACTGTTTGCTATTTTTGATTTTTTTTTAAAAAAAAAAGCTATTTTACTGTTAATGTTAAACATTGTTCAGAAACCCTAAGCAGATAAGAACCTCTTCTGTATTATTTGGAGCTTTAAATACTTATAAACTTAATTTACACCAATTTTTAATTTTCATGTATAGACTGTTGCAAAAAATATTTGATTCTTTTTTTATTGATATCTATCATAAGTACTTCACAAGATTCTGAGAGAATTTCGTGGGCTTTATTTATGGAAAATATTTTCAAATACTGTTATAGATATCTGTCATAAGTACTTCAAAAGATTCTGAGAGAATATTGTGGGCTTTATTTATGGAAAATATTTTGAAATACTGTTATAGATATCTGTCATAAGTACTTATGGAAAATATTTTCAAATATTTTCAAATGTTAAAAGAAAGCAAAATAACTTTAGATCAATTCAAAAACAAATTTAAAAATGAATTTAAACAATTTTGGTCTGCTCAAAAGGCCTTTTTAGGTCCACTGAAATTCCACTATAGAATGTTTGCTGGATAGACACCGGTGATGGTTTATCTATGACAAGTAGACTTTCACTGAGAAAGATTAACTGTGCATTAATAAAAAAGGGGTCAACTAAATAAGTGGAAACTTCATAAGTGCCAAATGGCATAAGTTTGCTAAAAGAATTTGAAAACATTGGCATAGGATTTGCACTAATGTCTATCTTTGCAACTGCTTCACAGTTATGGCAATTAGCACTGGTGCCAGTTTGTACATAATTTAATCTTTACAAATTCTATTGGTGCCTTATGTCAATTTGCACTTATGCCAGATTTTGCAACTGTTTCGCACTAATGCCAATGTTTGCAAATTCTTTTCTGAAAATTAATAAATGCCCTCTCTAATGTATTAAGCACCTACGATAACCCATCTATAAATAAAAACTTTTTACTAACTTAAAAAACAGTAAAACAGCTGTTAACAGATGTTTTAAAAATTTCTAAAACAGTAAAACAGCTGTTTTTTAAAAACCACTGTTTTTCAGAAACATAGTTTTGCTCTATTAGCTACAAATGCAATTTAACAAGCTTTTTTAGTTTTATATAATTAGTACTTGTTCAAGTAATTTTACAGTACAATAACTATTAATAAAAATATAAAGTATGATAACTATTAATAAAAATATAAAGTACAATAACTATTAATAAAAATATAAAGTACGATAACTATTAATAAAAATATAAAGTACGATAACTATTAATAAAAACATAAAGTACGATAACTATTAATAAAAATATAAAGTACGATAACTATTAATAAAAATATAAAGTACGATAACTATTAATAAAAATATAAAGTACAATAACTATTAATAAAAATATAAAGTACGATAACTATTAATAAAAATATAAAGTACAATAACTATTAATAAAAATATAAAGTACGATAACTATTAATAAAAATATAAAGTACGATAACTATTAATAAAAATATAAAGTACAATAACTATTAATAAAAATATAAAGTACGATAACTATTAATAAAAATATAAAGTACGATAACTATTAATAAAAATATAAAGTTCGATAACTATTAATAAAAATATAAAGTACGATAACTATTAATAAAAATATAAAGTACGATAACTATTAATAAAAATATAAAGTACGATAACTATTAATAAAAATATAAAGTACGATAACTATTAATAAAAATATAAAGTACGATAACTATTAATAAAAATATAAAGTACGATAACTATTAATAAAAATATAAAGTACGATAACTATTAATAAAAATATAAAGTACGATAACTATTAATAAAAACATAAAGTACGATAACTATTAATAAAAATATAAAGTACAATAACTATTAATAAAAATATAAAGTATGATAACTATTAATAAAAATATAAAGTACAATAACTATTAATAAAAATATAAAGTACGATAACTAGTAATAAAAATATAAAGTACGATAACTATTAATAAAAATATAAAGTACGATAACTATTAATAAAAATATAAAGTACGATAACTATTAATAAAAATATAAAGTACGATAACTATTAAAAAAAATATAAAGTACGATAACTATTAATAAAAATATAAAGTATAATAACTATTAATAAAAATATAAAGTACGATAACTATTAATAAAAATATAAAGTACGATAACTATTAATAAAAATATAAAGTACGATAACTATTAATAAAAATATAATGTACGATAACTATTAATAAAAATATAAAGTACGATAACTATTAATAAAAATATAAAGTACGATAACTATTAATAAAAACAAAATGTAAACATTTTAGTGATTTAAAATTTAGAAAAATTAAATAAATAAATTATTTTAATATTTTTTGATAATTTTTTTCTAGACTTTTTGTTTAAATGAAAATTTATTGCAAATACTTATCCATCTTCACAAAGTTTAAAGATGATTTTTTCTAATAGTTTTATAATAAAAATTTGGTATGCCATCAGCTTAATTTATAGAACAAAATAAATTTAGTTTTATGCACATTCAATGAAAGTTTGTCACTTACAAACCATTAATTACAGGGGCCGATCCAGGATTTTTTGGTATTTGAGTTATATAACTTCCAGGCACGTTCTAAATACTAAATTTTTGTATTTTCATTTAAGTCATTTAAGGATGATTTGTCAAAATTTGCTCTGATTAGAGTCTGGGAACAAAAAAACCCTAAAAAGTAGGTATCACCCTCCCAAATGAGGGGGGGGGGGAATCAGTTTTTCTAAATATAAATTCTAATATCCTAAAATAGGTGGTAATATCGTTAAGGTTCTAAGTTTTTTTTGAAAAATATAATTTAAAAATATTGGTTAATTAGAAATTATACCTAGTTTAAATTTACAACCCCCTCGTTTTAAGGGGGTTCTAACTTTAAATGGCTATAACTTAAGAACGCTAGAAGATTTTTTAATCAAACTTTAAATATAGATACACATTTGAATTTTATTAGGAAATAACTTTTGTTTTTCGAAAAATTATTTCCCCTCTCATTTGGGCAGGTGATGCCTATTATTTAAGGTATTTTTGTTCCCAGGCTCTACTCAAAGCAATTTTCGGCAAAGCATTCTTAAATGACATAAGTATGAGCATAAAAAAGTTTGGAGTTTAGAACTTACCTGAAAGTTATTTTACTCTAAATGTAAAATACTTATTATTTAGAGTATCAGATATGTCATCAACTAGTTCAACTACCGTGTGTTAAACAAAAATATTATTTAAAACCAAACAAACTTTTTTAATTAAACAGAAGTATTTTTTAATAACTTTTTTTTTCTTTCAATAAATTATATTTTTTATACTTGCGCTTTTTCAAGTTTCTTTCTTAATTTTTGAGTGTTTTGATTTTTTTCTAATAATTTTGCATATAATTATTTTTGAACTTTTTTTTATTTCTTAGGATAATGCAACAAAAAAAAAAAAAAAAAAAAAAAAAAAAAAAAAAAAAAAAAAAAAAAAAAAAATGTAAAGCTCAAAAATA